GTGGCCCTAATCCTCTTCCGTACAGAGGTGGAGTTCTCCATTTATCTACCTCAGATAAACACCAACTCTACTGGAAACATAGTTTAGGCGATGTGTAACAGAATCTGATTCTGAGTACCGTTGGTTCCAACAACAATCCCACAATAAATGAAAGAGAAAACTTAGCATGCTGCTAATCTGTAGTTCAATGTTAGTCCTCTTTGAATAGAATGTAATTAGTCAGTTCATTTTAAACTTTCAGCCCTAAACAAAAGGTTGAGAACAGTTAAAAAATTTTTTTTTTTTTTTTTTTTTTTTAGGTTATCAAACAACTGAGCCAAGCTTCAACAATAATCTTTACAGATATATTTTTCCAAGAAGGGGGAAAAAAACTGGTGTGAGAGGGAAGTCCCATTAGATTAGGGGTCCTACTGTGTGTCTTATGACACACTGAGCTCAGTTGATCAGGCCAGCTCTGAATTTGGTTTGCTGAGAGCCTTTCTCTTATAAAATAACCCAGAAAACTCTAAACTCAAGTTTATCTTTTCTGCTTCAGTTATAAAAAGTTAAATGCACCGAAGCAGAAAACACCCAAAAAGTTTTGATGTTAAAAGATCTTATTTTCTGCATAACAGAAAGCACAGGGAAGCTCTCAGAGAACATTGTCTCATGATTAGTTACTGAGCACATGAGTAAAAACACAGCTTTGTTTGTCATTACAGCAAGGAGAGAAAAAATAAAACCCTCTTACTGTTCTGTGTGATCTTCTGGATGTTTGAGCTGCATGTCTGAATGAGAGAGTTGAAGTCTCTGAGGACAGGGCGGAACTCTGCTTTCCCGTAAGACATCTTTCCAGACAGATAGTTTCCTCAAATGGAAGATAAACCTGCAAAAATAACAATAATAAAAACAATCAAAAGAATGTGGAGGTAACACAAGGCGCTACAAACCAGCTAGTATGACATATCCAGGATTAAGCCTCGGTAGATTACTTATCTACTCCTGTTCTCATGCTGTCAGTCTCAAAGTTTAAAGTTAAAAGTGTTTAATTCTGACAAACATTCAGTATCCTGCTATTACATGTAGCAATAACAAACATCCGCTAATACAGAAATTGGAACAAACGTCATGAATTAAAGGTGTAACGCGTTACACCGATCACCGTGTAACGCGTTTAGTCACCGTTAGCTGAGTTCTGCTGCGGAATGTTTCGGAAGGATGTTAGCTGTTAGCTGTTTAGCTAGCTGCTGATGACCCGTCACCTATCGGTTGTTTACGTCTAAGCGGCTAAATAGAAAAGACGCAAACACCTCTGCTTATAAATAAATAGTAATTACTACTTTAATAACAAACAGCAACAAACAGACTGCAATACTTGCTTATTTGACTGTTGAAAATGCGCATACGGCAGGAGATTTCTTTCAGTGAGGGTTATCGCTAAACTGTAGAAACATCTAAACACAGAGAAATACGCCCTCAACCAATCAGGAATCAGTAGCAAAACGTGTCAACCAATCAGGTAACAGCAATAGGAGACCTCAACCAATCAAAATACAGTGTTCCGCCCACTACTGCCTCCAGTCCAATCGGCTAAACTGCCTAGCAGCTTCCTGGTTGATCATTTTCCCTTTTTTTGAAATACCTTTATTGAACAGTTTTCCCGGTTATGTTTATTTCATGTTCTCGCATTTACATCTGCCAAAATGCGATATATAAAAAACTAAATGTAATTAAAAAAAACAACAAAAAAAGGTAAGCAGTAATGTGGCCTATATGTGCATGCAGCCACAATTTTTAAAGAATTTCAAAGTAAGGCTTTCAAACGCTACATTAAGTGCAGTAAAGTGTCCGTTCCCAATAACTTACTAAACTATGCTTGAGAAGAGATATTTAGTGAAACTAAATTTTAAATGTTGTATTGTCATACATTTTTTAGGATGAACTATTTCTATAGTATTATAGCATTTTATATACGTACAGTCAAAGGCGTAGGTTTGATTTCAACTTTGGTTCATTGGACTGATGTCATTGGTCCTTTACAAAAAATATGCACGATCCTTTTTTATGGTTAATGTGAGCATCAGGGCTTATTTTGTTTAAAGAGAAGAGCAGCATTTCTTGCTACGTTAATACAAATCTTATAATCCCTGCACGCACTAGATGCTGTTTATCAGTGCTTAAAGCATCATTGGCTCTGATGAATGTGGAATAAGGACTTTTTTCCACTTTGAAAATGTTTGCATTTAAACTTACCTGCGCCTATTTAACCAAATTTAGTCTAAATATGCCTGTTATATTTGGATTTATCCTCTTGTTTTTTTTTTTTTTTTTTGAAGATATAAAATTGTGTAGAGATAAACAGAGGTAAAGCCCGCTCTTATTTATTTTATCTAATATGCTCTCTCTGTATCTTGCAAAATAATACATTAAAGGGACAGCAAATAAATATTGTATTTAATGTGCACTGGAACTATACGAGGAACTGACACTGAGCATTTAAGATATTAACTTCACCATACAAGTTCTGCATCTGGGCTGTAGTTACTCTGTGTCGCCCATTTCATGTATTTTATCGACGGCTGAAACAATTAATCATATTAATCGATTATTGAAATAATCGTTAACTAATTTAGTAATCAATTAATCGTTAACTGGAGTATTGAGACTGTAAAACATGTCTTTAGTCAACAGAGCAACCCACCTAGAGCAGGAATTATACGAAGACTGTAAAAAATATGTAAACATTTTGCATTTAAGACAAACAAAAAAAGTTTTTGTCCTTCAAAATTCTCCATCCAGAACTCCACAAGAGGAAACGTTTCTGTTTCACCTGGTTTCATTTAATAAAAAATCTTCTTTAAGGAACATTTGGCTGATCTGATTATTAATTGATTCATCGAAAAAAAATAATCGACCGATTAATCAATTTGCAAGATAATCATTTGTTGCAGCCCTAATTTTATGATAGCATTCCAAACACGTTTCTTCCATCATGAAGCAGTGAAGGGCAGCTGCTTCACCCTGAGGCTACCCTGCATCATTATATCTGTTTCCTACAATCATTTAATGTTTCTATTATACAAGTGTGTTTTTAAAATTTAAGGGTTTAAATGTAACAAAACCTTTTATCATCATCCTATATTACTACTGTCTGACTATTTAAATAGCTCCTTATGTCTATTTTCTTTTTTAGTGGCATCATCTACAAACACAACACTAAGAATAAGCCTTATTCAAATATAAAATCACTTTTAACAATTATAAAAGACAATATAACACTATCTTATCTGTAATGTATTAGTATCCAAAATAAACAGCCAGATTTCAGCATTATTTAGCAGACTTTAATGTTTGTACTAATTTACTTATAGACCGTGTGGAAATCTAGAAAAATAGAATCAATGTAAATAGAGTTCCTCTGTTTTTCTTTAATCCCATTTCTAGATAGAACAATTTTTATGTGGAAAACAAAAAGTAGCAGATCTTTAGCATCCTTCTCGTGTTGTTATGTTCTACAAAAGAAATAAAAGCTGTCATTTATACCTGAACTGCCGTCAAAATTAAAACAGTAATAGCAAAGAAATGTTGGTGAAGGGAATCAGAAATGTTGATAGTTTACAGTCTTTGTTCATTTTAACAGCAGTTTTCTGAACTCCTGTCTGACTCAGAATATTTAGTTTTAGAAAGAAATCCTAACGTTGGTTACTTTCATTTCTCAAGTTCCACAAATCCAAACTCTCTCCTGCTTCTTTACGGAACTGCAATCAGAAGCTTTCGCCTGTTTTAGCGTAAATAATATTTAGTTTTTTAATTGGGACTAGTTTCCTAGCCTAATATTAATTTTGGTAACCGCCGTATTCTAGCATAATTTTATTTTTTTTTTCGTGCTCCAAACACGCACGCGCACATATACAGACTAGAAAACAAGCAATCGGAGAGAGAGAAGATGGAACTTAAGGCAGAAATATCAGAGTTAAATAGTGCAGCACAGTTGATGCGCTGCTACGTCTAAAGGGACAGGAGAGACGAGGCAGCTGCAGCTACCAGGCAGAGGAGCTGAGAGAGGAAAAGAAGCCACTGCTGCAACAACTACTGCTGTATAGTAAATTATAATCATGTTGTTCACATCCAATTATTGGTAGGAACAAGTAGGTCGGTCCAAAATTTTGGTAGGGACATGTCCCTATGGTCCCTATGCAAACCTACGCCCATGTGTACACTACAGACCAACAGTTTGGACATTTTCTCATTCAAAGACTTCTCTTTATTTTCACGTCTATGAAAATTGTAGATTTACACTAAAGGCATCAAAACTATTAATTAACACATGTGGAATTATATATTTGACAAAAAAAAACTGTGAAACAACAAAATATATGTCTTATATTCTAGGTTCTTCAAAGTGGCCACCTTTTGCTTTGATTACTGCTGCGCAAACTCTTGGCATTCTGTTAAAACTCTTTCTTTTCACTTCCAGCTGCTACGAACGGCAGCAGGAAATCCCTCACAGGCTGGCTGCAGCAGAGAGCTTTCAGCAGGGATTTCCAGCTCTGCCTCCCAGTGGTATGCTCAAGGTCTGGAGCTTCGAACTAGAACCTCTCTATAGTTCTGCTGCTATAGGCTTAGACTGCTGGAGGACACAGGGACCCCTATTTC